TTCTAACCTTAATCCTCAAGTCTCAGTCTCCTCTGTATCTAGACTTATGGGCATGAGCCACCGACACCCAGCAATAAAAGACTCCTTGAGAGAAGCTACAGTGTGAAAGCATGGGCCTTTCCTGTGTCCATCACTGGAGGTGTTCTAACCCTTAGCCTTCCTCAATACATGAAGCTGCCTGGCCAGGCCTGGTGCAGAGAGCCCTGTTCCTCCAGCCCCATAAAAACCAAATGGCTCAGGAGATCATTTTGTCCTCCTGTATTTTACAAATAAAGAAACCAGAATCCATGATCTATGACTCCCAGACCAGTGCTCTTCAGTCCAGATCCCCCCCCTGGCCACATCTGGAATGTGCAGAAGTTTCAGGAGTGAGCTTTCCCCACTAAAACAGGAAGAAATAAAACACAAAACACTGGTAGAAGTCTAGTCTTATTAAACTACCTTTCTAAATCACAATCTAACAAGAATGCTTCAAGCTAAATAAAGGAAGCTGGAAATACTCCTTTTCACTGGAGAATATAATTTTGCTTCAGCCACAATTTAAATTGATTTAGTTCTGAGCACCAGCACTTGAAGTGTGGAGCATATTCTATTTTCGCCATGATACTTGTTTTGACAGTGATGCATTTCAGTTGACATAGTTGAAATCCTTATGTAATAAATCTCTGCCTGAAAATTAATCATGTTTATAATATTCTGAGAATTAATAACACCCATTGCTCAAATCATTAACTTAAAAAAGGAGCTTCCAAAATCTGTTCTCGGCAGTAAGGGACAACAAATAAATGAATGTTTGATAAAATAATCCAAGTAGCAGTTTAACAAGCGTAAACTGGAATGTGGCTGCAATAACACAGAACTATTGTTTAAGGGTTGGCAGAGGTTGATGAGGTTCTTATTTCAGTTACGAAGCAGGCATCCACATGCATAATGAACTGCTCTCTGAATTATTAATGTGTTGCTTATTTAGCCTCATCTGTCTAGAAGATAATGTATCCTAACTCTAATGAGTGATCGGTTTTGTACATAATTACAGTAGCAGCAGTTGGGGGGGGGGTTGTGCATCTTCAAAAGAAGGAGTTCTAAAAATAAAGTCATCGCATAAACTCTGTTGTTGTTGCATTCTATCAAAATCAAACCCGAAGCATTTGAGAATTCGTAATAAATTACAGGAGACAGAATCATTATTAAAATCATAATTTAACACAAAAGGTTTTACTTAATCATTCATTACAGATCATGGTCTGTTAAAATGGGGATTAAATGACTGGGGTTGTTTTAAGGTGTTAGCAAAGATGTTCCTTTTTGGCCACTCACCAGCCATGGGTTGGAGGGTCCAGGAAGTGCGAAAGAGTAAAAATGATAGGAAAAGGTGATGCTTTATGTTAATTGTGGCAGAACACTATTTATTTATACATCTTTGTGCTGATACTAGGGCTTGAACTCAGGCCCTGGGTACTGACCCTTAGCTTTTTGCTCTATTGTTGCAGCTCTACCACTTCAGCCCCAGATCCACTTCTGGCTTTTTGGTGATTAATTGGAGATAAGAGTCTCATGGATTTTTTCTGCCTGGACAGGCTTCAAACTGGGATCCTCAGATCTCAGACTCCTGAGTAGCTAAGATTATGAGTCTGAGCCACCAGCACCCAGCTGTTTAAACATATCTTTTTTTTTTTTTTGGTTGGTTGTGGGGCTTGAACTCTGGGCCTGGGCACTCTCCCTGCACTCTTCAGCTCAAGGCGAGCGCTCTACCGCTTGAGCCACAGCTCCACTTTCTGTTTAAACATTCTTGATCACGGGAGATGTCCTGTATGTGGCCTATCGCTAGGAATGAAACCCAGAAGCAAGATGAGGTGAATGGGAGAGTGCGTCTAATTCCAAGCACTGCTTCTCAGAGGGCTTTCTAAAAGTCTGCATGTGAATGCAGCAGATTATCTATACAAGGCTTATGCTGAATGCTAAGTCAGCTTCCAGGTCCCCTTAAGACAGGACATGCAGCTGGTTTCCTTAGCCGTGAGGCTTCAAACTTTACTGCTGTCTCTTCCTCCAGCACTGAACCTAGGCTCCTGCAGACCCTGTGGATGAAGATAGGGGCCACAGGTAGAGATGGTCCTGGGAGATTCTCAGCAATGTCCTGGGGTTGATTAAAAGAAGTCTGTTTCTTCTGCCCAGTCCAACTCTGCTCCTCAATAAGCAGAAATGGAGGGGATCCCTTGAGCCACATCCTACCTGGTGCCTCACAGGACAACTGGATTGAGGAAGAGGTAAGCAAAGTAGCTGCATGAACATACAAGGCATCAGGCACCCTCTGTTGGAGGACTGTGGACACCTTGTCAAACAGGCCCTCTAAGTCCAGGACCCTCCAGGGTCCTGGAAAGGCCCAGTAGAGGCTGGAGAAAACTCTCTGGAAAAATGTGTGTAGAATATTAGAATGTATCCTCTTTTATCTCTAATATATTTGGATTTCAAGTAGGACTTCTTTTCAGAAAGGGTTAACAGACCGGCCACCAGTGGATCACACCTGTAATCCTATGTACTGAGGAGGCTGAGATTTGATCATAGTTCGAAGCTAGCCTCAGCAAGACAAAAAGTCTGGGAGACTATTATCTCCAATTAACTAGCAAAAAGCCAAAAGTGGAGTTGTAGCTCAAGTGGTAGAGTGCCAGCCTTGAGTGAAAAAAAGCCAAGTAAGAGGTTATTAGTTCCTGAGTTCAAGCCCCAGTTCTGGTACACACACATACACACACACACACACACACACACACACACACACACACACACAC